CCACCCCCCCATCCTGCACTCATTAACAGACAGAGAAACAAAGAGATCACTACTCCGCAGACGGTTTTCTGAATGAATCCCCTGAATTCACTGAAGTCTCTTCCTGATTTGGTGCATTATGGGTGAAACCTGAAAACCTGTTGCTGTTGCCAAAAAAAAAAAAAGAGCAAAGTGTGAATCGATTGTGTTCAGAGAAAAGAGGCTAAAAGCCTGTTTTGGACCATTTTCCTCTTAAAACGGTGCACCCTTGTGCTTAGCTTGAAATTACTCCCGAGTGTTTTTTTTTCTTTGACAGGAGGTTGAGGCGCCCTACATGTGCAGAAGGATGATGATGCCTGAAATTCAGCAGCAGCCCCTGCGTGGGTCTGCTGAGCTCAGTGTGACAGCCGGGTTGAGTCCTCCAGGGCCGAGCCTGAGTCGCAGCCAATCTTTCCAGGGAAACAAGGCGGCGAAGTTGGGGGTGGAGGGTGGACGTGGGCTGGCATCTGCCAAGACATTTATGAAGCCATCCAGACCTCCTTAGCAGCACAAGTGGTCTGTGAACTTGAGATGCGTCTGGTGCAATCGTCGCAAAACGGCGAGGCGTTCCGAGCGATAATTGAGGGCCCTCCKGCCACTTGTTGTTTTTTCGCTGAGGCTGTTTGTAATATTTTACAAAATATACCACTTCCTCATAATTAAAAAAAAAAACAAGAACAACACAGCATAATAATAATAATAAAAACACTTATTGCAGGTTTCTTGGAGCATCTTTCTCACCCTAAAGTCTATTCCAACAGTGGCTATGAAGTTGCCCCCCAGAAATGCCCCATCCTTGAACCGCACCAGGACACAGGTCTTCCCGACTGCAGAATCTCCAAGGAGCATCACCTAAAGAGTCAAAAAAAAAAAAAAAGAGATCATTCATTGATTTTTACAGCTAAGAACCCTAAAGCCACACAAGAAAACAGACACATTATTCCAGACAGTTGGACTCATCACTTTAGAGCATGCACCCTCCTCTAATCCATATAATTACATCAACAGGATGTGCAGTTAAAATATGTCAGTCAGATGGTGGTAGATAATAAAAATGAACTTCTTCACTTGAAGGAATTAGGAGCTTCAGCAACAGAAGAAGCAACAAGTAATAACATTTGGAGCAGGGAAAAAAAACTAGATTTCCTGCCGATCTGCAGGATAATTAAAAGAGACAGCAATCAGCTGGTACTTAATGCTTCTCAGTTCCTCGTGCATGTTGTTGTTGCGGCGTTTCCACCCAGTTCTAAAACACACGCATGTACAAAACGAGGGAAATACACACCTTGAAGGCAATATCGTAGTACTCGTTAATAGAGGCGCATCTCTCCAACACATATTTAGACGTCCCGTTTTTAGCCTGCTTGTCCGTCAGCGATGGCTTTCTTGTGGACATGGCAAGAAACGGAGGACGCTTCCTCCCACCACATACACACACACGCACGCACACTCACTCGCACGTGCACACACACACACTCCCTGCGCTCCCAAATAAACCCCACAGTTTCAGTCCAGGAGATGTGTCCCGGGGTAAGAGGCGCGCGCGGTCGGTGCGTCTCCTCCGTCAGTCCCGGACTGCTGCTGCTGCTGCGGCGGCGCGTCTACGCCCAGCAGCCAGGGGAGCAGGACTGACGAACAGCCGGAAACATTTCTGGGTTTTCGCAGAGCCAAGCGGAGCGGAGCGGCGCGTCCTGGCGTGGGCAGATAATAAACTGAAGCTGGGCTGCTTTGTGCCAGGAGGACAGTTCCGGTTGGTTCAAAACACCGGTGTGTGTGTGTGTGTGTGTGTGTGTGTGTGTGTGTGTGTGTGTGTGTGTG